AAATATTTGATTCTGGAACCTGACTGGGTGCGTCGTATTTAATTTGCATATTTAAGTAATACCTAGTTTTCTTTTTAATTAAACTAATAGGCATGTGCCATGTACATTTTATCACTTTATCGCAAATTTATATCACTAAGAATTTTGTGAAAATTTGTAGGTACTTCATTAGGTAGGTAACTTTTTTTCATAAAAAAAAAATATTTGAAAATTTCTATCGTTATTTTTCTGTGAAATATATAGGTTATCCCAAAAAATAGTAGTCACAGGGCAATTACAGATTTCTCATGTAAAAACAATTCAAATTTAAGTCACTCAAAAAACGTTTTATTTAAAGTTACGTTTTAAAATTGATAGATGCTATTTCAAAGAAAGATTAAATTTGCTGCTTCGGAAAAGATAGAAGCTTGAAATACTATTCACTGTAGGTCAGCGTTGCCAGATTTTTTTTCGGGCAAAGCAGAATTTTGAAATTTTTTGAATAAAAAAACGAGATTCTTTCGTCCAAAAACGGGACATACTAAGGGTTTGTATAATTGATGCCTAAAAAAAGGTCTCAGGATATCTGGGAACAAATTGTCTTTCAAAAAAATCGATGAGATCTGGAGAAAATAATTGCTAAAGAAAAAACAAAACAAGAGCGGGAAAAGCGGGACTGAGCGTGTCCCGCGCGGGACATTTAATTTTGGGACGTCCCGCCAAAATCGGGACATCTGGCAACGCTGCTGTAGGTATATCTGAGAAATTAAATATTTTAACAGCTATATTTGTATGATTTTTTTTTGTTTCTTTAAGCAGGAGGAGAATCAATTGTGCAAGTCTGAAAAGATTAGGAAAACACTTTTTTTATCCTTCCGATTTCTACCTCTGAGTGAACTAATCTACAGCAAAAAGATATTTTGTAATAATTGAGTAATTTTTTTGGCCGAACAAAATAGTTTATATAAATATAAGTATAGTTGCTAAAATTTTCCGTTTCCCAGACAGGGTCAGTTTGGGACCTGTAATGTTTCTTTTTTCAGAGCAGCAAATGAAATCTCTTTTTACTTGAACTGAGCAATTTTAGAAAAATTGGCAATAGACATTTCTTGTGTGAAATCCCCAGATAATAATTAAAAGTACATGAAAAACTGTTTCAAATCAAAAGTAAGTCTGCAAATAGTACAAATATTAAATCAAACATTTTTCATGTTGTCTTTATTTTTGTTTTTATTTGAGGAATGTGTGGTTGTTGAATAACCATTGTTTTCTGAGACACCCTGTAGGTATATTTAAAACATTTGAAATATGACTGTAAATCTATCGGTAGATAATAATTTTAAGAAGTTATAAAAATTTCTTAAGTTTATGTTGCAAGTAAACCGACTGAGCATTTGAATGTAATTATAAAATTTATTCAAGCGTATAACCATTAAAAAAAATTGACAAAGAAGAGTGTGGTAAATTTTTGGGAATTTCAGTGGAATCTACCACCTTCAATAGATATTTAGACAAAATAAGTGTTCTGGTGGTTATTAGCCAAAGAAACCAAAAAGAAATGTTTACTTCTATTTACCTTTTTGAAATGGTTACAGTTTAATTGAAATGACGTCAGGTACTTGTAATATTCTTTCAATTTGTATACGTGGTCCAAATAATTTATATTTTAGGAATTAAATATTGATTTATACATTATACAAATGACATATTCACTTCTTTTGCTTTATAATATTTACGTATTTTCTGTGATTAAAAAATCTTTCGAATTCAAAGTAATTCCACATAAATTAATATATTAGATACGCAAATATTATACTAATAGTATTGAACATTTTACATCTCTTCCTGGAACTTGCAGAATAGTGTAATTTTAGACTAGGGTCAACAACATCAATAAGTGTACAATTATAAATGGGTTGGATAACTTAGTATTGCGACTGTTGCGGAAATAGTGTAATTGCGTTACATTCAAAATTTTGATAATTTTTAGTAATAATCTGTCTCGTTAAAAAGTTTGTTAAGATTTGCATTGTAATATGTAAGAAAATAGGGCTATTAAAAATATATTATCTCGAAATATCGTGAGGATAAATTAAGGTTGTGAACAAAGAAGAAAATGAAGTAGAAAAATTGTTTAGTGACCCTGTTATATTTGACAACAATTCAAATGAATCGAATACTTTTGACTTTTGACAGAGATACAGAGTTGTCTTCGAAAAAAGTTTGACTTTGAAGTTAACTAATGGTGTTGTGGAAAACACTATTAATATTCGTTAGCGAGCTCGTAGACCAGAGTGGATCTGTTTTGAGGTGGATGTGAGAGAGGGCAAGCAAATTTTTTCTAGATTACCTTTAGTACAACTCACATAATAAAAGTGCGGATCCCTAGATCTTAACGAGGTCCGGAACATTTTCAAATTAGCAAAGATGTTTAAAAACTTTAAACTATATATTTTAACTATTTTATCTGAGTTTTTTACTTATATCTTGGAACCTATGCATTTTGGAAGAATATTGAAGAGGAAAAAAAGTTTTAGAATAGAATTTTACATAATATTCTGTAAGTTAAAAATGTTTAAATTTATTACCGATGCTGCAAAATAACAATAATTGATGAAAAAATGCAAAATAATCAAGTTTATTGGATATTTTTTTAAAAATATTTTAATTGCTCCGAGGGCATTCTAATTTTCGTAAAAAAAACTTTAGAGCATAATAAATTTCATTAAAATCGGTTCTATAGTTTTCGCAAAATTTTTTTTGAAAAAAATTTTGAAAAAATTTTTCGAATCTTCAAAATGTTGCACAGCCTCAAATAAAGCACCTAGATACTTGAAATTTTTTTCAAATAGAAAAGACCGCTCAACCTTTCAAATGGTTTTTGAAAAATTGAAAACTTTTTTATTTTTAAACAAATAGATTACATTTATCAATTTACAATTTAGTTTTTTTCAAAAATTATAATTTTAAAGTACTATTTTTTCTTAATTTTATCTGTATTTAACAAAAAAATTAATCTCCAAATAAATGTTTTTTTTTTAAATTTATTTAAACAAAAATTATTTAAATAATTGTAATAATTACAACTAAATACAATAGCATGTAATTTGCAATCTCATGCTGATGTACATCAATATAAGACTAGACACGCTGGAAATCTGGTTGAATCTTATTCGCGTATTACTCTAACTAAACGTAACAAACTTACAATCAGTTTGTTCAACAAGTTTGATAATTTTTGTAGACGAAAACAGATTAAAAACATGTCTCAAAAAACCTTTCACATGTTTACGAAATCATTCCTTTTAAATCAGTGTTTTTATACTGTGGATGAATTTTTAACTTTTATGAACACTACTCAGCCTATGTTATGACTATAAATGTACCACTTAATGTACATAAATGTCAATAAAGTTCTATCTATCTATCTATCATAGGGTAAATTATACAGTATATTTAATGCATAAATAATAAAATTTGTTTATAACAAAATATGTGCAAATTAGACAGTGTTGGCATTACGATATTCGAATTCCTTGGCTCGCGAGACATCGGATTAAAAAAAATATCGATATTGGTCCATTAGAAGCCGAGATAATGCAATTTTTTTCGTACCTTCGCATTTTGAACCTCCGAATTCAGTCTCGGAGCGAAAGCCCCCCCCACTTTTTGTGTTTTCGTGCGTGCGAGCGACAGCTTTTCCGCTGATTCATCTATGTTGCCGATAATTTATTTTTTTGAAAATTTTTTCCAGCTTAGAACTCGGAAAAACGAAGCCACTGGATCAAAGATTATTGCTAAATTGTTTATAAATTAACGGTAAATGCCGATAAACTTTGACCGCTTATATCTCGAGTACCAATAAAGGGAATTTAACTTTAAAAAAAAAGAAGCGTCTGTCCGAGTACTTTAAAATTATAATTTTTGAAAAAAACTAAATTGCAAATTGATAAATCTAATCTAATTGTTTAAAAATAAATAAAGAGTGTTAACTTAAAAAATTTTCTGTGGCCGTTCTAATAAACTGATTTCAATTTTTGAAAAACCATTTGAGAGGTTGAGCGGTCTTTTCTATGTGAAAAAATTTTCAAGTATTTGAGGCTGTGCAACATTTTGAAAATTCGATTTTTCCAAAAATTATTTTGCGAAAACTATAGAATCGCTTTTAATGAAATTTGGTGTGTTGTTTTATTTTAATCTAAAGTTTTTAGTACCAAAATTAGAATACCCTCCGAGCAATTAAAATATTTTTAAAAAATTATCCAAAGAACTTAATTATTTTGCCTTTTTTTTTCATCAATTATTGCTATTTGCAACATCGTTAATAATTAACTTACAGTATATTGTGTAAAATTCAATTCAAAAACTTTTTTCCTCTCCAATATTCTTCCAAAATGCATAGGTTCCAAGATATAAGTAAAAAACTTAGATAAAATAGCTATTTTTTAATTTTTTTTAAACATTTTTGCCATTTTGAAAATGTTCCGGACCTCGCCCAGATCTAGGGATCTACACTTTTATTATGTGATTTGTACTGATGTTATTCCGGCAAAAATTAGCCTACCTCTTCTTACAAGAAGTGGAATATTTCGACAGATCCTCCCTGGTCTATCGCCATACAGTTTATAGGTTATATCTCGCCCATACTCAAGTCCAGATATAATTGATTTCAGATACACTACAGCGTCCCTAATCTGTTTAAACCGCGAAATCAGATATTCAACCATAAGCAGAATATGTTGTATGAGCGATCAACCAAAATTATCCAAAGAAGTTCATTTAACGCTTTTACCAATATTAATTAGTTCTGACCCGCGTCCAGTTAACCGTAATAGAGATACTTTCGTGTCATTAATCCTGTTAGGCCTTCGGGACAGTCGTAGGTGTGCCAATTAAACAATTTAGTCACCCAGGCGGCTACTAGCGGGCAAAAATTCCGCCATAACGACGATACGGTTCGGATCGGGAATCCGCTTTTATAGTTTCGCTTTTATAAAGTTTCAGTTAACTATTAATAGTACGAACGCGCGAGTTATTGCAGTGTAATTTCGGCTGAGACGACTCTAGCACAACCGGTGCGCGCAATCCCGAAAAAAAGTAAATGGATGTGGTGAAGAAATAACGATTCACGTATGTTTCCTTTTTCTTTGATATTTGATTGTGTGCCATTACGTTGGGTTTACACGTTTGATTGAATAAATAATCTTTTGCACGGATTTAACTCATGCGAATACCAGAGTCGAGTAGTTAAGATATTTCTAACACCAAGTATTTGTCGAAGTGTATGTGATAATTGTATGTTCTAATATTTGCATTTATTTGTATGTAGGATGGCTTCGAAAACATGGTTTTCTATTATCGTGCACAAAATATTAATTACCCTCGCTGCAAAATCGCATCAATTTAATAGGCCAGGAAAAAGAGCTGGGAAATTACCATTTCGCGACCTTTTGTTTTGGCAAGCTGAATTTATCGCTATAGATGCTAAATATTATGTACAAGTACATATTAGTTGCCACAGTCATAAAAATGGGAGGAAGATTGTTTACAGGGTGGTTAATTGTATAATATTTACGTAGATTCACGTTTTTCACTTATAACTTTTTTCCGTTCATTTCCACGAGAAAACAGTAATGTACTTTTTTTTCGTTTCCAAAAGACCTACAAAACTAGCCCTCGAGCGTCAAAAAATATTGATTAGATCGAAAGTTATAAACAGAAAAAATTTATTTATGACTATTGAATTAAACATTTATAAACTGCGTTATTATTACCAGAAAGTTTTGGCATCGCATCCTCTCATTCCTTATCACTACTGTCTAATAACTCACACGAAATCTGGAATCGGTAAGTTGAATAGTTTACAAGTTATGGCCTGAATTAACTGATTATTAATCTGGACGATCCCGAGCATATTCCACAATCGCAATGATTTTTTTTACGGTAGATTTCATAATAATACATTGAAATTTATAATTTTTTTTTTAATTTCAAATTTGCAACTTGGAAAGTTTTTTATTTTTTAGCCTTAGTAGCAAAATGAAATATACGACGCACGCGCGTGATATAGTTATATATTATTACATATTCGGAAAGCTTATGAAAAGAGCTGTAAGTTAAAAAAAATCGTCAAGATTCGTTGAAAAACAGGTTACAGACTGTCAAAATTGACGACCTATTGTTAAAAAAATACTGTCATAACCGGCAACCTGAGTACTTTCCCAGATAATAGTTATTTACGTAACAAGTCCGGAAAATACTGTTTTTTTGGACAAGTTGACAAAATTCTAGGACGAGCCGTAGGCGAGTCCTGGAAGTCTGCGAGTTCAAAAAAACTGTTTTCGGACGTGTTGCGTACACTATTTTTTCGGCAACCATGTAGAATAACAAATTAATGAGACACATTTCTTTATTATATTTTTTTGTAGAACAAATTAATTAATTAAATTCTTATTTGTATTAAATATTGAAATTCGAACAGAATATAGGTACTAACAGAAACATTCTAATTCTTATTTATATTAAGATTTATAGTAAAATTTGAGCAATTGCTAATATTGAAAGGGTTTAATTTGTTTGAAATGCTTGGTATATTTAAATGCCTTTTGTAGTCAGAACAAGAAGGTAAAGTTTCCGTTTCATATTGATTGTTTTCATCTGATAATTTTTGAATGGTCTTGGCAATTTTAATTTTGTTTGTTAGTGAATTGTCTATATATCCTTCAGCGACATTGGTAGACTTCCAGCCACCGTGTCTCTTCAAATTTGTGATGTTTCCACCATTATCAGCAAATATCGTCGCTGAAGTTCGACGCATGCTATGGCCTGTGTAATTTTTAGGATTGGGTAAATTTAAAAATTCTGCAATTCTTAATCCGAGATTCCCAAAACTGTGGATACCAACGGGCTGAATCGAACATTTTCCTTTTTTGTAATTCACGAATAATCTGTTATGTGGAGTATGGGATGGCCGTAAAGATAAATATTGCCTATACAACAGCAGGTTTTCTTGCCCAATTACAACAAAATTTCTCTCAATATGTGTTTTAGAATCTGGTATTTTCACGAGCAACATATCTTCTTTGTCGTTTATTAGATCAATTGACATTTTTGTTAGTTCTTCCCGTCTACACGCACCGGCTAACCCAATAATTGTTGCTACCTGAAAATGAAGCAAATTAAGTTGATACTTTTATATCCTACAATCGTAATATTTTGTTAAAATTACCTTTAGCATTAGATATGTTTCATTATCTGCTTCTCTAATGAATTTGTTGATTTGCTCGCTGCTGAAGACTTCTGATTTCTTTGCTTTATAACCAACATTCTTCCTTTTAAGAAATGCGATTACCTTTGGGAAAGTGGCTATGTTTACATTTTTCTTCACTAAAATGGTACTTTTCAACATAGAGTACATGCTCCACAGGGTAGAGGATTTGACAGTTTCAGATTTTTGCGCCAAGTAAGCTAAAATTACATCCTCTGTAATAGTTTTGCATTTCTTCATATCCATCCATCTCGTGAACAAATCATAAACGTTTTCGTACCTGGACTTTGATTTTTCAGGCAATAATTGTGCTGTAGCAGCAGCTGCTGCATTGGAAATTTCGTAAGGCACATTTTCAAACTCACTATCGCTGTTGCTTTCCATAGTTTATTGCGACAATTGCGACCAAAAACCATGCAAACTTTCGAAAATTAAAATGTCAACTAATTTCACTTCAGATAGCTGTCAGTCGTTATTTCGTTGCTATGGTAATGTTCAACTGCATTTATCAAAATCATACCTTCCAAGATTTTCATATTCACAATGACAACAACGATGTGATTCTTCCCGGCCTAGTCCTGGAAGTGCGTACTTCCCGGACTAGGCCGAAAAAATGCTACTTTCTCAAAGAAAAAGCGTCCGGGAAGTAGCCACTTCCCGGACGGTTGCCGAAAAAAATATTTTATTTGTGGAATTATGTTAAGTGCATTAGAAGTATTGTCAAAAGTCAGTGGGTCGCTTGATTTTTCGGCGAGCCGTGGCGTGGCGGAGGGGTGGAGGAAGCGATCGACAGCGAGTCCGAAGAAAATGACGATAGTATTCATAGTCCTGCCGTTAAAAAGCGAAATTCGCTTGAAAATAATATATTTGACAGTCTGTAACTCCGTTGTTTTTCAACGAATCTTGACGATTTTTATTTTAACTTAAAGCTCTTTTCATAAGTTTTCCGAATATGTAATAATATAATAATAATAACTATATCAAGGCTGAAAAATAAAAAACTTTCCAGGTGGTCAATTTGAAAATAAAAAAATATAGATTTTAATGTATGTATTATTATGAAATCTACCATGAAAAAAATCAGTAGAAATTCCCCCTAGAAATTCGAAAAAACTACAAAAACCTTCTTAAGTTGAGAAAATATTAGATTGGAAATTTTTAATAGAATATTTTATTTACTTCAACTTTAATGTTGAAAATGAATACACTACTTTATTAAAAAAAAACAATAGTAATAAATTAGTATAAATATTTGTTGACAAGAGAATTTAAAAATACATTTTATGTTAAAAAGTAATACATTTCCATATTTTAAAAATTTAGCTCTGGAATTTTAAATTAAAAAAAAAGAAGAATAAAAACCTGGCTGAGAAATACTATGGTACAAAATCATCTCATTGGCCTAGCAATGATGAGTATACACAGAAACCTTATTTTTGACAATCATGAACCATTTTATTAATAAAGTGGTCGACAAATTTTCAAAAAATCCGAGAAGATTATGTTTTACCTAATATTCGTTGAATTTCTTTATTTTTTCAGTTATTTATTTATTTTTTTTTGTTATTTTTGTATTAAAAATGTTTCGATAATAATATTTCTAAAAAATTAATTCACTGTACCTATTTCTACATATAATTCATATTTCTCCCATTCTCTACACATTTTTCTAATATTTTTCTAAATTCCTTCATTTATGGTGGTAACAGCTTCCTGAATTTTTTGCCTAAGTAAATCAATGTTATCGTCAAAATCGTTTGAATACACTTTTTGCTTTAGGTATCCCCATAAGAAATAATCTAATGGGGACAACTCGGGTGTCCGAGCAGGCCAAGGTATTGGTTCATAGAGTCCAATCCACTGGTTTAACATTTCTCCAGTTGGAAGTGTGGAATGTGCAGGGTATCGTTTTGTTGAAATATTATGTTTTTTTGGACTCTAAATTTTCGCTATCTAATTCTGCTAAAACAAAGTTATTGAGAAATTCCAAATCCGAATTTTGATTAAAATTTTCCTCCAAAAAATAAGGAGCAATTATTTTATGACCAAACATTTATTTTTTTAAATATTTGACTTAGTTATCAATCGAAAATATGAATTATCTTTAGCCCAGTATCTACAAGTTTGAGAGGAAACCACACCATTAGTTGTGAATGTTGATTCGTCAGTAAATAAAATATTGTGAAAGAATCTGTTTTGTATCCTAAAATTATTCGAATATGAGATCTGCTAATATTTATGTTTTCTGACCTTTTCCTGAGACATCTTTGGATTGTCTTGTACTACATCATTATCACTGTATCATTTTTTTATCTTTTTAATATTCTTTACATCACCGGTGGTATCGAATTTCATAAATAGCTTGCGAACTGTTCTGCGAGTTACAGTTACATTTGGATACTTTGCATAAAAAATTTGTATTGCAGATGAAACATTACCGGTTCTAAAACGTTACACAAGATAAATTCGTTGTTCTAGGGTTAGCATTATTAATAAAAATTTTACTGTGGGCAGTTAATAAAAGTAAATATGTTGACTTTGACATTGATAAGGAAATATCATTGGTAATTGTATGGTATGTAATATAGATAGCGTCTTTTTATTTGCAAAATGTGATTATTGTTCTTTTCCGACTAAACCCCGTATTTAAGCATTTCTTGAGTTCTCGTACAACTTTGTTAAATACAGTTTTTTAAGGAAAACAAAAATGAAAGGCATGCTTAGGAAAAATTTGACATTTTGAAATGTTTTGGATGTCCTGTATGTTTTCTTACATATTTGATCCCAGAATAAGCAAAACTTTTTCTCGAAAAATCAACAATAAAAAAGAGTGCGGTACCCCATCCGGAAACACACTGTATTCATATCTACATCTACCGAGTTTTTTTAATTAGTCATATGTACGTATAAACAGCAATTTATTTTTAATTTTTTCAAGACACGTTGTGCATTTCATTACAGAAGGACATAACAATGAATCCGGTGAGGTATGTTTATTGTTTCTATAAGTTAACATCAGACATATGTGACAGAGTTTGCAAGCTCATATGTGTTTACATTTGACGAATTGGTAAGTTGTGTTTGTAAGATTATGATACATATTTTTGTTATTAATAATATACATAAATAAAAATGACTTCAGACAAATATTAAAATATTAAAAAAAGTGAAACAATAAACTAAAAACTGGGCATAACTTCAAGTTTTCAAATTGTAATACATACTGATAAATTGAAAACGTATTTCTATATTATAATTAAAAACCATTATTTGAAGTTCCATCTGTGCTTTATAATTAGCTGTCTAGTTAGATCTACATAAACACTGATTAATGAAATCATTCGTTTATTTTATGACCGCATCTTATAATATTTTGGTGAGTTAGTGTATACAGAGAACAAAACTATTTGCACTGGCCGGCAATTCATTTACACCAGATATAAAATTAGTACGGATATAACTCTGGTGAGTGCGATTGGTCTTTCCTGATTGTTTTTTGGTATGTATTTCCAATGGTTCTACAATATATGTGTTCATTTGAAGGAACGTAAATATGCATATTAATGTTGTTGTTTGTTTCTTAACCGTTACATATATGTTCACGTATATATAGTGATGAAATCATACTCAACTAATTATTGAATTTACTGTGGTCGTGACAATGAGATAGCAAGTAGAAATCGATAAAATTTTGTTTAACAGTTATCGTATTACATGTAACGTAGTTATTACTTTGTAATTCAATTCTGTATATGTATGTTGTTTGTTACGTTCATGAAATATTACTAAAATTTTATTTGGAAGGACGACAACCTTCCAATATTTGGATCCCAAACAATTATGTAAACTCGTTTTGAATTTTTGTTTTTGTTTGTAGCAATCCCTGAGATAGGCATAATTAAATATTCTGTAATTCGTGTGTTACTGAAAAAGTGAATTATTTTGAAGTTTGAAGAAAACCGCACTTTTTCGCTTTCAGTTTCGGAGATATTTGAAATTATCTAGGATACCACAAACGTCCAATAAAAAAGAGGTTTCTTTTTTAAATAAATGAAATAATACAATTGTTACAAATACATGTAACAAGTTTTTGGTCTTCCAATTGACAGAAAGGAGCCATATTTCACCATTGACATAATATATAGCGGAAAACCGTTTTTTTTCACACATTTAGGTTAGAATACTCGAAAATTTGATGTAAAGGAGCAATTGATCACGTCAAAAATTTTCGGGAAAGTGTAATCTAGTTTTTGGTTTAAAATTTTGTTACTCCGTGTTTTTAGCTGAGAAAGTGTAGAAATATGAATATTCTCCTATTCAAACATATCAGAATCGTTTAATTTTGCCGCTTCTAAAAGTTACCATTTTTTTCAAATAGAGGCATCTCAACAGTAGCGTGTCGCAGCGATTTGGTAAAGATAAAGATAAGAGAATGTTGGGGTGCTTCTCTACAGAGATTTCTACAGCGCATGCCTAAACTTTAAATTCGCATGCTTCGTATAGAAAGATTGTCACTTGTTTAAAATAAAAATCATGCGACGTGTTGTACTGCTGTAAGAAAAAAATAATGGTAAAGTTAAGGTGCTAGAAATATTGCAATAAACTTTAATAAACTAATTTTTGGAATTTTTTGTATTTTAAGGAAATGGAATATGTTTTCAAAGCTATTAAAAAGTAAAGTCAAAAAATGTTCAAAAGACGAAAACAGTGAATTTTTGAAACGTCAACGACCTTTTTAAAGTGCGCCATATAAGTAATGTTTTTGTATGTATTTTCTATTTGTCTGCTTTTTTCAGTGAGATTTTTTGGTAGGACAGAATTACTTTCATAAAAATAACCATTCACTAATTTAAAATTTTTTTTCAAAGGTGGCAAAATTCCAAAAAATAAAGAAAAATAAATAAATAAAAGTTATAGAAGTTACTATATTTGTTTATGTTTACATCGTTTGTGGTTTTACACATTTATATCGTCTGCAATTTAACATTTGTTATTTTTAAATTAATTTTTTATATTTATCACAAGAAGAGTTGAAGTGTTAGAAAGATTTATATTTATGTCTCTAGATTTTGAAGTATTTGCAATTTCTTTTTCTGTTCTTAAACCAAAAGGGATCATTCAAGGTTTTTTTTTAACTATTTTTGCCTAATTAACAATCTCCCACTAAAAAATTAGACAAATAATTAATGTTTCCTAAAATTTATATTTTTTCATTATTAAACCTTATAATGACATTTCATTTTCAATTAAGGAGTGATAGTTTAATTTTTTTAATTAAGAAAGAAACATGAATATAAGTTTTGATAAAGAATATAGAAAACATTTTCAAAACATCAACTGAGTATAACATTTATTATTTTCAGTGTGATTTTTTGATTAGTCATAAATAGTTTAACAAAATTAATTTTGGTTTAAAAGCTTGTAGAGTTAGTTATTTATTTTTTATCTCAGATAACAAAATACCCAATAAACAGAGAGAAAACTAAAATTATGCCACAAATAAATATCTGTAGACAATCCTCTCTATGTCGCTATTTTATTGAAAATTCCCTAAAACTAGAGACTTATTCTTTGATCTGGCAACACTGTCGTGAAGGGCTTTGCAGTAATAACGCGAAACCCTGCCGCTGCCACGCGTCGCTGACTGGGAACTATCCCTAACACTGACCGTCTTCACCAAACTAACGTCAATTTCGAATGGTAGATATTAATAATATTATCCACTGTAGTAAACGATTTTACCCACGCCTATGGACTCGTGTATCAACATAGCGCCGCAAGCAAAAATTCGCGTCTTTGAGTAGACCGCCTAGACTGCGTCGCAAATCCAAACAATTTAGTACAAGCCCGTCGGCCTTCGTCTCATTAACTCCATTTTCCTGTGATGATCCTAATCTCAAATCTTCATTAATCGGAGAAATTCTTCTACCAACATTCTCGCGAATTGTTACAGTGAGGAGGGCTGTTGCCCTTGTGCTCGACGATGACGGGCTCCCAGGGATTGGTCAGGAGTGATGGGTATCTTCCGAGTCCTGCAACGACGCCAGGATCGGTGTTCGACGAGGACAAGTTCCTAGTGCCCTATTACGTGAAGAAGAGGCGGAGATGGTACGATTTGAGGAATGCGCCTTTTGCTATTCTCACTGTTAGCACTTTACAGGTAAGTTCAATGCACGAAAATATAATGCAAAAAGCCATAATGATAATCCGGAATATCAGCAATGTAATAATTAAATAAATTATTAAGCTTATGAAAGATAGAAGATAATTCTATTTTAAACAAAAAAGTTTGTATAAGAAATAAAAAAGCATATTACATCTATATAAATATCTAGACGCTTATTTTATTTATACTGAAATATTTTAATGCTCCATATAATTATGTTGTGTTGTTTTTTTTTGTACTTGGTATTATTTTTGTTACAGTGCATTCGTTTAAAATTCAGGTAATTATTTTGCGGAAAAACGCTCGGACACGTCGATTAGTATTTTTAGTTACGGATTTTTTGACATAAGAAAATTGTATACAAGGTGTATCAAGAATAACATACGCAGTCATCATTGATTTTTTTTAATGTAACACCCTGTATGTTATGCCATTTTTGAATTGTACGGTAAATTCTGAACACTTTTTGTGTAACATATCATATCTCTAAAATCAGCGGTTTTCGTAATAATGACGTTTGAAAATTAAATAAAATGTTTAAATTGAACAGCCTTGAACATTTTTTTTAAAGCCAATAAAAACAACTTGGTATGCCAAATTTTATCTTAAACAAAACAATTTTCTTTGTATTAATCGTTTTTCATTCCTTAATAGTCCAGGCGATATCTGTTTCGGGTTGGGTAAAACGCATATGATCGGAGATTTTTGCTTTAACGGTTCTCCCCACCCCTGATTGATTTCACGCGGTCTTGAATATCTTTGAGTGACATTTTAAATGAGACGCCCGTGATTGCAAATTTTGAAAATTTATATCTGGAAAGTACTCGGAATGACAAACCTATTAGTTCAAAAAAACAGCCCTTATACCCTTATAGGTTTGCTGTAAATAAGGGTTAACTTTAACGTGCTATAACTCCGAAAATAATGGGCAGGTCATCAGGTTTTTTTTTAAATACTCGTCATTCCGAGTCCTTTAAAACCATATTTTAAAATAAAAAAATGTTGAAAAAACATTAAATTATTGCAATTGTTTATAAGCGTGACAATTGCGAAAATGAATTTTTTTGCTATTTTTTTATACTTTTGTGCAATAACAATGAAGCCCACGTGTTTTTTTATTTGCATAGAAAAATTATCATTTTTGATGTTATTTAGAAGCCGTTAAAGCAAAAATCTCCGATCATATGCGTTTTACCTAAGTATACCCTTTTTAAAACAGATATCGCCTGGACTATAACCCATAGACTAATTTGATGTAGTGTTTTGTGACAATAAAAACCAAACTATCAGCGGCGTTTAGTTTGTCAGTGTCATGTTGTCAGTTTTACGTTTCATTTTAAAAATGCGTTTATCTGAGAAAGAACGTATCGAAGTACTTATGATGATTGGTTTTGGAGACAGAGTGTACTCAACAAGAAGTGTGTAATTTATTTAATGTAATTCATCCTGATCGACCTCCAATTACTAGATCTACTGTCAGCAAAATTGAATTCAAAGATATCAGAAGATTCTAAACCAGACGTTTTACTAGAAACTGTAAATAATCCCCATGTAGCCGTTAGGACAATCTCCAGGAATTGTAATTTGTCATCGGGAGCTGTGTCACAAATACTCCGAAAAAATGAATATCATCCTTATAAGGTTCAACTGATACATGAACTATTAGAAGACGATTTTGACCGAAGAACGCAGTTTTGTGAGCAGATAATTGAGATGAATAATCAAAACTTAGGTTTAATCCGAAAGATTATTTTTTCTGATGAGGCTAATTTTGTTTTAAATGGACAAGTAAACAGACAAAACTGCAGGTACTAGGCAACTGAACATCCTCGTCGGATACAAGTCTATCACACACAGCATCGTCAAAAAATAAATAAATGTTTGTAATTAATACTAAAAGTGTTACGGCATCTTTAAACAATGGTAGTAAAAATTTCAGTAAATGAAATAAATTCTTCAACTGTTTTTTGTAATGTAAAATTGCATTAATTTGGAACTTCAAAAAACGAGTCAGCCAAGTAGTTTAGTTATATCCTGTATATTTAAATTAGTGTAGCTTATAAAATCAATGGCAATATTACAAAGAAAATGTCAGAAAAGGTAGAAATAAGGTAAACAATTCAACAGATATTCGTCAGTATTACAAGATTTATTTATTGATTGAGATTTACTGTTCATTTTGCGTATTTGCGTCATTATCATTAGCTTTACATACTGGTTTGAGCGTACAGAATTAATCTTTATGTATTTACTGCATTCTAACAGTATAAGTACAATGTGTTTTCCTGTATTTTGCACTTCAGCTACCTACCTTATTTTTGGACAAAGATAATAATGTGAATTATTCCATTATATAAATTTTCCTTCAAATTATACAAACCACAAAGAACTTGTCCTGTCCAAATTTTGTTCGTGCAACTCTCTTGGTTTCGACAATGCCTGTTTTCAGCCACGAAAATTGAATAATTTCAAATATTTCGAATTTTCACCACCGAGAACTGCGGTGACAGTATTTTTAACATTAACGCGATGTTTTGCATTGTATTAACTATGTCCTGTCCAAATTTATCCAAATTTATTTTCAGGATTATAGTTATATAATCGCTCGTGAGTCTAATAACAAGGGAGATATGGCAAAAAAAGGGTGCCATAAGGACAAGTCACCCTTACATCACACGACTTCAATTTACAAGCAAAAATTGAACATAAACTTTTATATTTAACAATATTTTTTCATATATGTGAAATACAAGAAAATATCTATATTTTTTATTTAGTAGCATGCATGGTCTGCTCTACCGTGGAAGATTAATATACCGCTCCTGCTCCCACATATTTATGTGTATGTCAGTATTATTTGATTTTCAGTGTAATTTCTTTGTTAAAATGAGGAATGAAACTCACTGTTTCTGCAGAAGTAGTGTGTAGTAAGTGGCCTAGTTGAAAACAATCTTGTTTTTATAATAGGATGACAGGCCTAATGACTAAAATTATTACAAAGGTCAAACGTAATTAACAAATAACCAGTGGCTAAGAGTGTTTAACCTTAATTATAGGTTCATATATAAACCAAAGTATTTTAAAAGGTCCAATTTAACACCATTCGCGAGATGTTGCAACAGGATGTAATTAATAAGTTGCTAGATAATTTTAGCTTTTATGTACAGGGCGTTTTTATAAAAGGAAACTTATAACGAGTTATGAACGTGAATAATAGCAATAAATGTTGAACTATTTTAACTGAAGCATAGTTGGAGTAATTAACGTCTACAATTTTGAAAATACAGACCTGCCCTATGCTTAGTGTTGAAAAATATGTTTCATTAAAATTATATTAATGTCTGATAGTTCTGACTAGATGAAATTTATCTGTAAATGCCAAAACAAATAACTTGTACAGTTTGGGTTCATTTAACGGAAAGACTAAAATACGCAGTCTTTTTATTTTACCCCTTTGTGCAAAAAATTTCACAGACGCTAATGATTGTTATTCCATTAAGATTAGAATACCGTTTCCAGATTCAAGTATCCCCGTTATTTTATGAATTACGATCGCTCATATTTTAGTACACGTGATGGCTTATAAGAAAAATATTTATCATAATCCTACTTGTCTAAAAATAAACTTTAATGTTTTAAAAACTTCTGAAAACCTCATAACATTTCGCTTAATATATACAAATTTTGTTTTCTATATCGGAAACATGACGGATATTGCGAGAAATTTGCTCCAGATTATGAGTAGCTAGATAATTTTATTTAAATATAAGTACAAAATAATATTATTTTACATAAATCTAGTGTTATATACAGGGTGTTTATTAAATACTTATACAAACTTTAGAGGGTGACTAATTTTAAAGATAAAAAGTTCATATGAACATACTCTCTCTTCGGGGCGCCGCAAAATTAGCCTGAGCAAAAACACAAATTCTATCATGCATCTCACTGTTGAAAAAATTATTATGTCTGACATTTTTTGATCACTAGCTAATAATTTTGCACGAATAATAAATCATACGCACGCAAAATACGTTAATATTTATTGACATGAAAATTTGATACAAGCCTACTTTGAAAAGAAATAGCAATATCAGCGCCTGAAATAAAATCACAAAATACATTGAAACTTTTAAATGCAAATAACTCAGAAACCGATAAAGTTAGGCAACATATACAAGAGTACATTTTTTATGTAGAATTGAACTTTCTTTTAGATTTTTAACTTTTTTAAAGCATAGCTTAACAGATAAAAAAAATATGTTCTGATATACCTAAATAATATGGTGTAACTAGCGCCCTCTAGGAGTAACGTCAAAATAAGCTTCAAATTCGTAATTCTCACACCAAAAAACCCAACACTACCAAGTTTCAGTGTCATGCTATCAAAACTTTCTCAGTTATTGAGATATTTCAGAATAAAATTGAAACCTTCAACACCCTGTATTTCTTAAACCAGCGACATTCGTATAAAGCATGACGAGCTCATAATACACATAATATTTTGGTGTCTAGTATCTCAAGTTTAATGTTGACCTATTCTTTTTGTCACCCTGTATAATCAAAATTTACAAACATTTTTTTTGACGCTCTGTATGTCAAGAACCAAGCCGTTGCGGACCCATGTTCATATGAACTTTATATCTTAAAATTAGTCAGAGATTCACCCTTTAAAGTTTGTACAAGTACTTAATAAACACCCTGTATATTAAACGTTATTTCTTCATGCTTATTTATTAAATAACTCTTGACCTCTTTCAGATATTTTGACGCTGCAATAATTAAACTATTTGTTGCTTTCTTTTGTTCCAGATTTGTGTCCACATCTTTCTCGCCAACGACGTCAAAAAGGTACTTAGATTTGAACCGGTGAAGTGCTACGAGATCTGGAGATTTGTAACTTATATGCTAGTCCACGACGACTGGTATCACTTGAGTTTGAACGTCGTGATCCAGTGTATATTCGCCTTGCTACTGGAGAGGCGCCAGGGGCATTTGAGGGTCTTCTTTCTCTACGTATTGGGGGGTGTTACTGGGGTTTTAGGAGCGTCCTGTGTTCATCCCGATCTTGTGATAGGGGCTTCAGCGGGAGTCTATGCCCTCCTTATTTCGAACATTGCAGATATCGTTTTGGTGAGTATGCAAAAGTAAAATTATATTTGCTATTTACAACAGTAAAAAACAAATAAAACGTATGACAATGTTCAAAGCCACACACTACACTATGATAGCTATGTCTGTTATGTATACTGAAAAATATATAGTCATCTTTGTTTTATGTCAGGGCACAAAACGGGTAGCTACGTTCGTAACTATGTTTGTCACTATAGCGTCATAATAGCTGCGGTCGTCGTGATAGCTATTCTCGTTATGGAAGTTATGGTGGCTACGTTCGCAACTATGTTCGTAACCATAGCTTTGTTTGTCTTTATAGCTGCGTTCGTCGTGATAACTATGCTCGTCATGGAAGCTATGGTAGCTACATTCTCAATTATGTTTGTCACCATAGCTTTGTTCGCCATTATAGTTGCGTTCGTCCCGAAAACTATGCTCGTCATGGAAGCTATGGTAGCAACATTCTCAACCATAGCTTTGTTCGTCATTATAGCTGCGTTCGTCGTGAAAGCTGTGCTCGTCATGGAAGCTATGGTAGCTACAATCGCAACTATGTTCGTAACATAGCTTTGTTCGTCATTATAGCTGCGTTCGTTGTGGTAGCTATGCTCGTTATGGAAGCTATGTTTTGTATAATTATGTTCGCTACATTCTCTACACGATAGAAACAACGAATCTTACAATCGCTCAAGTGTTGAGTTAAGCTATGTTCGCTATGATAACTATGGTTGCTACAGTCGCTATACACTATAAAAACCACACCATACAGACCACACAGATTGTACGCTACATTTGTGTTCGTCATCAGCTAGAATGGTGCTATGTGCGTCCGTAATCTACTTTTAATGTGAATAACAAATTTAGCGAATACAACTTGTACCTATTGTATAATGTTTTGAGTGGCCCTAGAGTATTTAAGAGAAAATAATGGGAAAAGAATTTACGTTAAATTTGTGGGAGAAAAGGTGAAATACTCCAAATATTTAAAGTGGATCATTAAATCCTAATCATTAAAGTTAAAAATTAAATAATTTCTTCCTTCTTATTTTATTTCTTTCATTAGTAAGGTGTAAAAAAGTTCTCATTAATTGATTACTTGTAAGGCAGAAACGTAGATTCGCTGAAGCATTTGAAAGCGATATTACAATCCTCAGATAGAAAACCAGTTCGTATACGTATTTTGGCAATATGACCTACATTTCACTCAACGTATCGAGTTTATTTCAGTTATAAACAGCTCTGTAGCTCATTTTATTATTCAAAGAATCATCATCCATCTTGCTTATGTCTTGTTACTTGTTAGTGTTCTATACTGTCTTCTTTCTGGAAATCGGTTTTATTTAAACTGATAAGTTTATATACTGCCGGGGAAACATAAACCTTGCGAAATTCTGTGTTTGTTGACTTTAGAAAACTGTCTAAAATATCTGTTATTAATTTATTAGGCACATTCTTGTTTCTCATAATATTCTGACATCGAAAAAAATATTTGAATATTAATTATTTTTTTGTTCCAGAATTACCACACCATTAAATACAAAATATACCGAGCGACCTGTATAGGCATCCTGGTGCTATTCGACGTAATCTACGACATAGTCCACGTCTATTCAAAGAAGGAACCACTGATCTCGTGGGAAGCTCACTTCGTAGGCGGCGTCGCTGGCCTCCTATTAGGCCTAGTCTTTTTCAAAAGCGAAAATAAACCCGCCATAACCTCAAAAATTAACAAGTTCCTCTTCTGGACCGGTCTAACACTTTTCTTCGCCTTGATGATCTCATTTGTGATACTTACCATACAGATTAAGAAATGCACCCCTGTTAACACCATATATGTTCGGTATGTTTACTTTTGTTGAGGATTTTTTTAATTGTTATCGTGAATCCATCTCAGGAAGAGGCAATCAATGAAATTTTAAGTCTGCAGATGCCTGTTGATACACAATAATCAGAAATTTTAGTGGTAGTTTTTGCTATATCGAATTTTATAAATGTTTGTAATTGTAAAAGCGAGAATATAGACTGCTGATCTTCTCTATTAACACGTATGACTGATTCTTGCAATAAAATACAAATATCATCTACTTTTTATTTGAAAATTTGGTACCACTGAAATTACTAGCGTGTATGTCTTTTAAATAATATTTAATTTTCTGTTTTATCGAACAATCGTAATATGTATCAGTTTAGGCATGCAATTTATTGTGCACTTGTTTTCCCGAATCCTCACAAAAGGGGAACATATTTTTGAAAATTTTGTAGCGCCTTTGAGATAAAAGTAATTGAATTTTATAATTCTTTGTAAAACTTTTATATTTTACTGTTTGTGTTTTACATAAATGTCTGTTATCTAATAATTTATATTCTAATATGAATAAAATATTCAATAACAGCACAAGATGTCAATTATTTGTCCAATATAACTCGATTACTAAAGACAAAGTTGCAAATCAATCAATAATTCTATGAATTTTTAAATCTGACCAATCAGCTACTCCGATTTCAAAGATGAGTAGTGTAGATATCCAGAGCTCCAACAGATGGCACCTTATTTCAGGTGGGTAAGTTTCTTGCATAAAAGCACAGAATATGTGTAAATATAATTTATTGGCAATATAATATATTAACTATTAATAAAAGAAAATAGCCTCTACTGGCGAAAATATGTGTCTTAAAGTAACCTCAAAATAAATTAAATTAATTTACTTAACTACGAAATATTTCAATGTGCTATAGATATTGCAAACAACAATAAAAAAATGGTATCACTGTAACTGTGTATGGGGTAGCTGTGGTATATATTATGGAACTATGGTAAATGCACTGAAAATCAATGTTTTAAAATGAGTCTTTTCCCCCGCAGAAACTTTTACGTTTCTAAAACCGTCACCTTGTATAGGAGTGCTTTTATACAAATTGCGATTTGATATCCAACTAAGAAAATATGAATTATTAATGAACTATACTCCGCGGTTGAAATTATAGAGAGTGACTCATCGCTAGCTTTTGGACTAGTAAGGGGGATGAAGCGTGCCGGGAACGAAAATCCATTGGCGTGTCTGCGTAAAAGGCAACAAAATATAGAAAATATTGAAAAAATATAATAAAATATAACATCTAATATTTTTTTACGGTTTGCTATAACCGGCACTTTGATCCATTTGAATTATTACAGCATTTTAAAACGTCCCAGTTGTGTTTTTTAATTTATAAATTTATTATAGCCATGGAATTAGACCCCTCGTCTACGCTTATGTTATGACGTTTCTCAGGACGGCTAAATCAAGTCCGTTTACACCCACTAAAGAAGCATTTCCCTATTCCCTACCAAGTGCAAAAGACAGAGATAGAATATAGATCGACGTTCAGTGTAACTTAGTCTATAGACGATTATAGATTCTATCGATGTAATAATAATATTGAACCGTAAAAAATCATTTTATATTTTATACGCATTATGGTAATAGTGTTTTTATATTATGTGTGAGTCACTCTCTATAATTTGGACCGCGGAGTATAGTAAGAATAAGCACCAATAACATGACAATAAAATTAATTAAAGACTCAAATTAAATTAAATACTGATTTTACATTTTAGTAGTACTTTCAGAAAATGGCACATAAAATAAATTAAAACTATAAATAATGTATATAGATTCAAGCAGAATGTAGGGATGCTATAATAAAAACTATGTCTTCATTCTTAAATGAGTGAGATCTTTCAAAAAGATGAACTTAATTAAACTCACAACCGATGAACTGATACTATTTCAAACAAATATAAAAATACGAAGTGAAAATGTCACACCCTGTATACGAAAACTTAGAATAAGGATTATTAGGAAAAAATATCAATTACTCTTTTGCATTTTCCTAAAATCTAATGTTAAGATAATAATGAACTGAATTACCATTTAAATATTAAATATTGCCATATTAATTATTGTTTAGACATTAATAAACAAATAAAAAAGATCTTGTAATAAAATTAAATTAACAGTATTATAACTTGTTTCTTACATTTGTTCCTAACACTCCTTATTAACATATTACAAATTTTTCTGTTTTATTAAGTATTTATATCAAATCTAACATTTCAGTGCCCTGCACTGTACTCCAATTTCAGTACATTTACATTCCAGGCACGGTCCTGATAATTCCGATATTATCCTGCCTACTCTGTACATCCTGCCATAAATATTACAACCTGCTAATTTCAACAAACCCACTCCCGGAGAATCCACACTGTTCGGATGATGTGAATTTGAATCTCCCTCGTTTACACTCTCCCGCTGTTCCACGTTCTCTGTAGAGGCTTGCGCTAAGTTCGGCATTTGGTGTATAGATGGCTCGGGCGTCGTGAAAACAGTCGACAAAGCCTCGGCTGTCTTTCCAGCAATGGAGGTTTGAATTTTGTTTGTGTGCGTCTCATGTTTTTCTTCGCCGGAAAATAAAATCTGTAATACTTTATCGAGAGAAAACTCTTCTTCTGTCTTAGTAGTAATGTGTTCGGTAGTTTTTGTGGTGTTGTGTTGTAGTGTTTGTAGAGGTTTTTCAGTAATGAATTGTGGTACTGGCGTTGTTGTTTTTCGGGCTAAAAAGGGCATCATATCTCCGATAAGTGACTGCAAATTTGGAGCTGGCTCCGTACGGATAACGTCGCGAAACGGGTCGGGAGTGACAATTCTGTCGGATAGAGACATGGTTTCCTGGGAGTTGGAAGTTCCATCCAGGCGGTCCAGTACCACTGTCGGGGCTTCTGCGTCTGTAAAGGTAACAGTCGTAGTTAATTTTATGAAACACGTATTAATAATTACAGTTTGCTGTAGCAGAAATATTGTTCGTGAGCACGGCCAGTTGCGATATTTTATAATCGATCTATTTTGATTAACGTTAACTAAATTGTAGTACCTCTGCTATTTCCATTGCCTTGTTTCAGAGTCTACAATCGTGGCAGCACACTGCATGACTTTTGACAAGTTGCTTCAATTGTTTACATGACAAATGTCAAATATCTGTAGAAGTGTACGTTTGGTTTACGTATTATTTTTATATTTTTCAGCTCAAGTTTTAATTAAATTACTTATGTCAAAATAAAAGAAGATATTTGTCAAAAATATAATTATACCGATTGTCATAAGCCTCTAGGTACTTGCAGCCACAAAAAGTCAAAATATATAAAATATTGAAATCCAATCGTCAATTTTGACACTTCTCGGCTGATTCAACAGATTAATATTACAAAGCCAACGTGATGTATCGTAGCTGACTCGAAATAAAGTTAATACCTAACCATTTCTCACGATCTCTTGTTAATATCTAAAATGGTACACTAAAAAAACCTACCGCACACGTAATGTGGACAGCACAGAGTGAGGTCTTGAACTGACGATTTTCTGCAACCTGGCCTAGGAATAGGGCAAGTAGGTTTCTGACAAACAATATTTCCATAGAAACAGGTGCATGCGACGCAAGGCGAGTCCGATGGTACTGATTGTCCATGGACCACTTCTCGTCCATCTTGATCTGCACAGTCAGCTACAAAGAAACCAAATGAGGTTAGAAACTCAAACATTAGTTTTAAATGACGTACCGTTCATTGGTTTAGGTGCAATGGTGATAGAAGGGACTGTGACGGCGTTTTCATAGAAGTTTTCTAGTATGGGTGGGTCTTTTGGTACAAACCCTCCTGAAAGACAAATACGTGTTCGTAAATATCCAAAAAAAATATACTTATAGATGGGATTTACCTTCTGTTTCAACAGGTGGTGAAAATAGGTTGGTATATCCAAAAGATGTATCAGTTACTTTTTCCTGGGCGTATACTGTATTGTCTTTAGCTGAATCTTTTTTTACATCTAAAGCGTCGGCAGCAACAAAAGGAATTATCCTAAAAAAATAGTTTTTGATATACTTTAAATTAGACTTATTTACCCTTAAAACAATGACTTTACCTTACGTTTGGTAAAGACGGTGGCAAAGACGGCTCGTTGTAATCATAATCATAATCTTCAACTTTCTGTTTTGTAATGTTGAGAATAGCTTCAATTTCCGGTCGGATATTGGGAATATTTGGAACATCTCTTAAAGTTGCGCTAGCGACGTTTACTTTAGTTATTAAGTCGACTTCAGTAACATCCTCTTCTGTAGTAGAAGCGTTGGATTCTTCGCTACTGGTTGTTGACACGATATCCTCTAAATTCGTTATTCGAACATCTGCTAGTTTGTTAATTTCGTTAGCGTCAACTGGTAGTACTGTGGTCAGCTCTATTTTGTTAGATTCCAAAAAAGGTAGCGAGTTGCCTTTAATGCAGTCTGTAGAATTCAGAACAGTTCTTAAAGTAACAGGGTATGTATTATTTTGAAATGAATCTGTAGTTGTATAATACTCAGTAGTTGTCAAGTCTGTGGTTTGTTCTGATGATTCAGTTTGGAGTTCTGTTGCATTGTCTTCTACTGGTTTTACTGTAGAAGGGTTTTCTAATGTCGTGGATTCATTTGTTACGTTAACATCTTCAGTAGTCACAGTGTCATCAGTGTTAATTGTACGCTCAGTTTCATTTTCAACTTTCCTATCCACTTTCCCATCTAAAAGAGATTCGAATATGCTGAAAAGGCTGTCATCCATAAAGTTAAAGTAATCAGGGGATTTGGTACGCTCCTCTTTGTAATTTGTTGTAGTAATAGCATTTACTGTTTTGAATGTTGAAGACTCTGTTGGTTTGACAGGTTTTGTTGTTGTGGAATAAACCCTTCTGTAATTTGTGTTTTGAAATTCATAGTTTGTAGTAGCGTAGTACACTCCTGGGAAGTCCTCTTTGTGTTCTGCGTGATTTCTCGTCGAATGTTTATCAGTACTTTGTTTTTCGTCCATAGAATTGTAGTAGAAGGGCTTCGTGGTGCTGGGATTGAAAGAGACCCCTGTGAAGTGCCTTGTTGTACCGAAAGTAGCAGGACTTCTGTGTTTTGTTGTCGAAGGAGGTAAAGATTCTGCCAAGACGTAGAATGGAGCAACGGTTACAACTTCTCCAGTATTTTTAGGCTTTTGGTTAACCTCTTTTCGAAGCTTGGCGTATTCTTTGCTTACGATTGGAAAAAGACCGTAGTTGGGTTCGGGTTGAATTTCTATGGTTCCACCTAAAGCAGAAATATTTGTTTTAAAAAAGGATAACAGTGAAGCACAAACTATCAATAATAGTCAGTTTTTATATTTATTTAAAAAAAGTTGTGATCTTACTGCAGTTATAACTAGCCGCACAACATTGTCCAGGTTTGATAACAGGAGTGCAGCCTAAGAGGGGTGGAGCGCAAGATAAGGGCTCACATCTGAGGAGCCCTTTCATGCAGTAGCAATTATCACAGACAGAATGGCCAACGCCAAGAACTTTTTCACCTTCAGAATGGTGCACTCCATCCACCATGCAACCATCTGAAAAGGTTATAAGGGGTTAAAAACAATTTTTAAATTAAAATTAGGTACCTCAACTACAAACTTAAATGAAATATAACAAGCGTTTGTTATGATTAGTTATTCGTCTGCTGTAAATGGTCTAAGGCAATGATAAATAACAATTATTTTAGAGTCCTTACTTGTGTTAGAAACCTCACCACAAATGTCGATTGCTACCAATGAATAGTTGCGTAATGACGTAAAATATGATATAGATGAATTTAAGTTTGCTTTATATGTATAAAGAAACAAAACAAAATAAACAGAGGCATAACACATAGCGACAGAGTTAAATAAACCAAAGTGGACACCTGTTCCTTTTGACATTTATGTTAATATACTGACCACTACTGCACCTACTTCTGTTAAACAGAGTGTAATACAAGACCTGTTTCTGCTGATCGAGTTGTAAGTTGAAATTTCATTCTCCGTAAAAGTTATCGTCTTACTGAATGGATTTACCATGCACCTTGCTGCTATCATCGCTAATCTCGTTCGTATCATCTCAGTACACTAATTGATATTGACACGAACAGTAACCATAATTCTGTTTAGGAAATCGAACAAATATCTAACAAAATCGTTACTAGGATAAGTCAAAGTAGTTGCACCACATTTTTTAAAAAACAGAGTATGTTTTGTTTATTATAAAGGGTAAAATTATAAAAGAACTGTTATAGGGCATTAAAATCTTCAGTTTTTAAATACATTAGAAGCTAATATGGAATTGCCTCAGAAATAAACAGTATATGTATACTATACAGAGTGAATCACAACTTATCAAAAAAAAAAAAATTGTAAAATCCTTATAGTTTCTGAAAAAAAAATATTGAAGTTGTAGTATTTACAACCGTTACATCGCTGGACTACTGTAGTGTCTAGCGCCATTCGCGTCGTGCGCTGTACGCAATGCACTCTCCATGTGACTCCAATCGATTCCGAATACTGAAATCCGATTTTAGTATTAACGTTTTTGCAATAGTGTTTATATTAGTTTTTCAAGTGTCAAAAATGGCTTACGTGTATAACAATTTGGAGTTGATGGATATTGTTTTAATTTATGGTGAAGCATTTTTGCTGTGAAATGGTATAAACGAGTTTTTCTTTAGGATTCATATAAAACTGATATTGAGAAAAATAATTCTTCAACGACATCAAAGTACTGTTGGATTAGTTCATCAGATGTATTAGAAATTTTTAGAAATATATCATCTGCATACATAGTAAAATGAGGTTATGTGCCCAATATCATTGAGGAACGAAGGAAAAAAAATGGGATCCAAGATGGAGCCTTGAGGAACACCCATACTTATATCTATGCACTTTATTGTTCTGTATATTGATTGAAATGCTATAAATTCACATACTGTTGTCTACCTTCAAGAAATTTCTGTTTTTTAAAAATTGGTATTATTTTGCAATTCTTTAATGCATTTGGAAGAGCTTCCGTTTCAAATGATACAGTTATCATACAGGGTGATTTCATTTTAAATACAGAAACTGGGCTGGGGGAAGATTCATTACCAAAAAATAAGTACAGTACAATCTCACTAATCCGGCATCATGGAAAATGTATATGTAAACAGTATTAAATTAAAAAACGTTACTTTTAATTGTTTATTAACAAAGAGATTGGTACATAGACACATACATATTACAGTTGTGTATGCATATACAGGATGATTCAGAACTTATCCAAAAAAAAAATCTGGATGTTCAGGGGACTCTTACAAATACGATTTTGTAAAGAAAAAATCAAAAAGGGCAGTTCGAAAATAATTTAAAAATACACTTCTGCACGGCACTGGAAACTGGTCCACTGTAACACCTGACCTGACGTAATGCGACCGTCACAGCGACAGTGATAAAAACGGACAAAAACTTGAAAGAATTTCGCAAGGAAATGAATAAATAGAATTTTATAGCAGCTATTTTATACCAGCAAATTCAACTGATTTTGCTGCTATTGTTATTATTAATTAATGAAATTAATTTGTGGTTTTACTTAATAAAATACTAATTTGACATACCTGATGTTACAACAATTGTTCAAAATTTTGTCCACCGACCTGTAAACACATTTGATCCTGTCTTACTAAGTTTCTACAAACTAACACAAATGTTGTCCTGCTTCACCATAACGCAAATGTTTCATTATAATACAAATGTTGTCTTGCTTCACCATGAATTAAAACGATATCCATCAACTCCGAGTTGCTATACACAAGCCATTTTTGATACTAACTGGGTACTAAAAAGCTATTGTAAACACTACCACAACGACGACTGTATTGGGAGTCGCTGAGGCCACGTGGCTCTCACGCGTATTGCGATTGACGCTAGAGACTACAGTTGTCCAGCGATGTAGTGTTTGAAAGTAGTCCAACTTCAATAATTTCTTTCTCGGAAACTATAAGGATTTTACAAAAATTTTGTTTACGATATTGACTCCATTTCTCATGCCGCATCTATTCCCAATTTTTTTTGGATAAGTTGTGAATCACCCTGTATATGTATATTGTAATATTTTTATGTAAAATAATCTTTCAACTAAACTATAACTGTATAAACTGTATTCTTCAAGGATAGTAAACAAACGCGGAAAAAATAACGCCGGATTACTGGACGTGTCGATGTAGTGAAGTGCCGGATTATAGAGATTCTACTGTAGTTTGCTCTATAAACTTTTTTCCTGCGGAACTCGGTATTCGAGATACAGGGTGTTAAAGTTTACAAAAAAAATATATTTTCTGCTATATTTTCATAATGCGCTAACGAAATGAATGAAATTTACTAAAGCGTATTCACTTAATTAGACCTTTTATTGGATGTAATATTAATCTTGTGGCTTTAGCCAGTGGCGTGCTACTGGAGGTGCCGCCCCATTTTCCTAGGAAAGAAATACGCCACTGGCGGTTTTTTGTAGAAATAATGTTACATTCAGGTACTGTTACGTTAAATGAATTATATTATTTATATTTCACATCATTGTGATCATTGTAATCCAGAACTGGCCGACTTTGTTTGTCCTTCAGTTGGTTCCCTTTCAACGTTTGAAATTGCTCTGTCAGTACATTACCTTTTGATACAGATTTCTTCGGATCAATTGTTGTGGTACTGCTCGTTGTCGTCGGTAGATGTGAAGTGCAGTTGTACTGCACTGGGCAGCAAATCGTGGGGTCGTACAGCGGAACGCAGCCCTCTATAGGCAGTAAACATTTTGGTTTGACGCAGGTCTGTTGTCCTCCTAAGCAGTAACAATATTCGCATAGGGATGATGAGTGCATGGCCGACCCGGGACCGTAGATACTTCCGTTGAAAATACAAGCTGGAAAATGATATTTAAATTAAGTTATTCGATTATTTCTCTGCTTGTTGTTTCTCCGCTTGTTGCTCACCATTGCCCAGAATAGTCTTGTCGGGTGGTAAGTTAAAGCCATCGTCAGGATCAGAGCGGGCTTCCAAGCTGTTTCCGCCACCAGGAAAATCTTCAAAAGAGTACGAGAATTTTAATTAGTTATTTTTTTTTTGTTAAACTAAAAAGTTTTATATGATATTTTCCAAATATTTGTCATAATTCCAAGAGGTTGTTCTTTGAATTAACGAGCGTTCAAATAAAAACATGGTCGAAGTTGGCTCTGACACATTGGACGTAGGGAGTAGCTTATAGCGACCAACTTAACCTCATTTCTCAACGAGCTGTATAGCAGCTGTCAGTTTCAATAACGTTAATGACTATATAACTTTATTTTAAAGAATAATCGTGATAACAATAACAAACAATTAAAGGAGCTGCGGAAAGTGTCCCCCTCCTTGTTATAACAATAAATTAAAGCAGCTGCTGAAAGTGTCCCCCTCCTTGTTCCAAGCACTTTTCACACCTGTTCCTCAAAGAATTAAAGACATTTTCTAAGATGCTCGGGGTATTGTTAATTTCACGAATCTTGTCTATAAGTCGAGCCTGCAGATGGTTTAAATCAGGAATAGGCAGTTCAAAAATAGTGTTTTTAAGGTAAGGCCACAAAAAGAAATCACACGGCGTAATATCACATGACCTCGGTGGAAATTCATGTTCAGCATTGAGACTTATTAGTCGATTTTGGAAAACTTCCCTCAACATATTCATCGTCTCGCCTGCCGTATGTGCCCTTGCGCCATCTTGTTGAAAGTAAAAGTTTGTAATTTCGTTTTCTTCCAGCTGGTTAACAAAAGGAGCGATAATTTCTTCTCTATACCTTTGCGCAGTAAGAGTACCATTAAAAAAAATAGGTCCATAAATCCTCCTTCGATTGAGAGCACACCAAACTCCAATTTTTTGAGCGTGTAGAGGGCCCTCGACAAAAAAGTTATCTGGTTTTTCAGAAGACCACATTCTCATATTCTGTGAGTTTACGTAACCACTTAAATGAAACCAGGCTTCATCAGAAAAAAAGGTGATATTATGAAGTTCACCGTAGTTGTTTAAAAACCATTCACAAAATACAGCCCGTCGCGGAAAATCAACTTCATGAAGTTCTTGCTGACAAGTTAAACGATAGGAGAACAAACGCAAATCTTTTTTTAACACTGTGTGGCAGGTACCGACTGATACTCCCACCATTTGTGATAAAACACGTACAGAAGTTCTTGGCGCATTTTCCATTATTTGTTGGACATTTTCTTTTAATTCTTCAGTCCGCTTTTTAGGTCGGCCGCTTCCTTCTTTTCTTGTTACACTGCCCGTTTCACGAAAAACATTAACACAACGCTGAACTGCACTTTGAAAAATTTTGTACTCAACAACGCCGGGAAATTGATTTTGAAATTCTATGAAACATTCCTCAATAGAATACTTCCATATTCCATCAATCTTGCGTCCATTTCTAAAGTAGGACTCTATGATAAACACTTTTTGTTCTTGAGAAAACACCATTTTAAACGCTTTTTAAAACGAAAATATTCAAATTGATAGCGGCGATATAGCGCTTTGACAGATGACGTTTAAGTTCATTTGCTATACGCTACGCCCTACGTCCAAATTTTCAGAACCAACCTGACCACGTTTTTATTTGAACGCTCGTTATTTTAGATTAAAAATTATATCCCCACGTACCTAAATTATAAAATTTTTGAGCAAAAGAAATATATTATGTTGCGATACACATCCTGATGTGCAATATGGATATTAAAATAAATTTAATATTTTTTAAATGTATATTTTATTATCAACCATCGTATTTGATGTTTTAAATGAGTTTTTCATGATTCTACGTTCATTAGTCTTTTCCTTCTTACCTGCACATATTAGTTCGGGACAACAGGTCCTGTATCTGTGCAGAAGAATGCACCCAGGTGGCGGAGGGTTGGGTAATTTTGGACACACCCTTAGATAACACAGCAAGGCGCCCCTATTGCAGGTGCAGTTTAGACAGGGCTCTGCGGTTGCCACCTCGGTACCCTCTTCGTGTCTGTCGTCATCGTACCAACAATCTGAAAGGTAACTGCATGTAATAACTGATTTTCGTACAGTATAAGTATAAAGGGTGTTTAGAAACTTGGAAAGGATATTTTAATATTGGGTGGAGGTCATTAAAATCGTTGAAATTGCAAAACTGTGCTTAAATTTAATAACAATCAAAACGGTTGAAACTTATTGGGAACCTCTGGAATCGTCTCCGACTTACATACCACATAAAATAAGGTTAACAGTGGTGGCCGTAAATAACGTGCCGCTCTATTAGTCAGTTTTTTGAAGTAAATAGAAAAATTGTTATTTTAGTTTTAGGTAGTCGTAATTTGTATCTATTACTGTGAAAATTATTACTGAACAAATGTTTAAGTGCGGTCATTAACTTCACTAGATTTATACTTTTTAAGAATATGGTCAAGAAAAGGCATTTTTCAGAAGAAAAACGTGTACTTTTTTGCAAAAATGGGATATATAACTCTTTGATAACACTAATTCATTTGAACAACTTCCGGTTTCATTGGAAATTTGTTTCACTTATTCTTTATTAATTTCATATATTTAGTGGCCTCAGACAGTATTTTTAATAATAATTCGAGCAATGTATTATACAGGGTGATTCACAAACGATGGCCAAAATTGAAACCTCGTACTCTTTGGTGAATTTTAATTTCAATTCGTTTTTTAAGTTTTACCCGAAAATCAAACTTTTTTCGAAAAACATAAGAGAGTAATAATTTGTGGAAAATTGAAAGACGAATCCGAAAATATGGTTGTTACCGTAAAGCAGTGGCGTACTATTTTATTTAGAAAAATATGCCACCGATACCTTGTATCTCTGCCACTGAAGCATTTAAATTCTAGGAAAAGGCCTCAGATTTTGGACAATGTTTACATAAATACATGTGCCCAATTTCAAATTATTTCATTTATTAGTTTTTAAGTTATTAAAAAAAATAAAAAAAATATTTTATTATATTTAACACCCTTAACGAAGCGTCCTAGATAAAAACTATATAAGAAATACTTCCCTTAAAATTCTCCAAAGAATACGAGGTTTTATATTTGGTAACCGTTTGTGAATCACCCTGTATCAGGCTTCTAATATTTTAAAAGCCTAATAACACAGCATGGTATATAGAACTTGTATATTTTTTGATGCTGCATCCGAATTTTGTTATTTGATTGTGTAATGGAATATTTTTAAATGTTCTTTTTTTCTATATTTTTTTAATTGATGTTTAGGCGTTTTTCTAATTGCATATTCTGATGTTATTAGCAAAGAAGTAAATCGCAATAAAATGAGAATTATAGATTACTCTGTACAGCGATTTTCAAATAAGCATACACCAACTCATGTAAACACAGTGTAGAGCCTGTGGTTCCAAACAAGTTTATTGCGTAGGATTAAAAAAATTATTTCGCAAAAACTACTTCTAAAACTAAAAATAATTATTACAAAAATCATCCAAAGAAACATCCTGTATTTTTGCTGTCCTATTATCACAAGACAAATCACGTAAAAAATAGCTGCTACAAAGTGATGTATTTGTTTCCTCATTTTACTTGGGACTGATTCTTCAGGTAGCATCCCTTCTCCTTCTCATATACAATTAAAGATATATACAAAAAAAGCATAAGAATTACAAACTTTTAGAAAAAAAAAGGATGACATTCTGAAGCGACAGTGACAAAAACTTTTAGGCATGACTATTATGATTATACATAATTGTTTTTCAATTTAACAAATTTAATATTATTACAATATGTCTGCATAAAATCGGATTTTTTTGCCTTAAGAAAAAATGTTGTTTTTTGAAGTGATCCCTGAATTAAAAAAAATCATTTTTCGCATATAGATCTCCTAAGAAATGTATGTCCATAACAGAACAAGATTTCGTCAAGAAATATTACTAACCGTATTAACGTTAGTTTCGCGTCCATAATAACGAGCATTGTTGCAGTCAAGGTTGTCCACCTTAAGAAGATAAAACATCATTATAATCCGTCTGAGCTTTACACGAAACATTTGCATTATTATGACATTAAGCGGTTTTTAATTATCGACATTATTGAGGTAAGTAATAAAATCACGGCAGATGGTGTGAAAATACCATACTTTCGTAGACAAAGCCTGGGTGATATTATCTTTAGTATTATAGGAATAATGAGTGAACTCTTAAGTGAATTTATAACATGTTACGAAGAATCCATTGAAATCACTTCATATATACGTAATTTTGAAATGAATTAATTATTTAATTTATGGTTAATTTTATGTAATGCAATATATTTCTTTCTCAATGTTTTATAAATGACAATATGGTACTGTCCTTATACAGGGTGTAACGGATGCTGATGTCCAAACTTCAGGGGGTTATTATACAAGTAATTTTCAACAAAAAAGTATTATAAGATTTTTTTGGAAAGTTGATAGTTGCTCTTTTATTTAATATTTTTTGATTTCAAAAAATTTTGTGCCTTTTTTCATAAAAACAAAAATATCTCTGTTATTCTTACAGCCACATAAAATTTAGGCATATCATCGGAAAGAGCGTTAAATTTACTACAAGACTAGCGCATATGAGTGTTTAAAAAATTTTCTATACCAGGAGTTGTAAAAAATTAAATGTAATAATTGGAAATGAGCAGAATTAGTGGTATCTCCTTATTGATGATAACGCCAAACATTTGTTAATGAGGACGTATTTTTTCTTCAGCAAAAAGTACTGTAAGCTTTTCAACGATATATCAACTTTTGAGTTTGCTATTTTTTTGGCAACAATATCAAGGGCAAAAGTAATAAAACCGTCCCTCCAATAATCAATACAGATTCAAAGTTAACGTATGGATGGGTATAATTGGAAATTACGTTCTTAGACCAATTATACTAGAAAATACATTAAATGCAGAGGCATTTCTTGATCTTCAGAACGAACTGCATAATATATTAGAAGAGGTTCCTTTAAATTTTCAGATTAATTCCTGGCTTCAAATGGATGGTTGCCCTGCAGACAACAGCAGGGAGATTCGGGCATGGCTAAACGAGTATCATGAAGATAGATGGATAGGACGCTTTGGTACAGTTAGGTGGCCTCCTCGAAGTCCTGATCTAACTCCGTTAGACTTCTTTTGGTGGGGTAGATTAAAATTTTTGGTATATGAGGTACCAATTGAAATTCGAGAACAGCTCGAACAAAGGATTTTTGCTTGTTGGGAGCTACTTCTACAGCAAAATGGAGAAGTACGTCGCACAGTTCCTTTCGTGTGGAGAAGGTGCGCTTTATGTATCCGTCAAGGGGAAGATTACATCGAAAATTATTAAGTCATTGTAAACATGTTACTAAGTTATAACTAATTTTTTCTTCAATTTTGTTACTTTAATTTAAAAAAACAGTATTAAAATAAAAATTAAATACTATAAACTTTGTGTATTTTCGATTTTTACGGTTTTATTACCTTTGTCCTTGATATTGTTGCCAAAAAAAATAGCAAACTCAAAAGTTGATATATCGTTGAAAAGCTTACTAAATACAGTAGTTTTTGTTGAAGAAAAAACATGTCCTCATTAACAAATTTTTGGCGTTACCACCAATAAGGAGATACCACTAATTTTGCTCATTTCACAATTATTTAATTTAACTTTTTACAGCACCTAGTATAGAAGATTTTTAAACACTCATATATGCTCATCTTGTGGTAAATTTAACGCTCTTTCCGATGGTATGTCTAAATTTGATGCGGCTGTAAGAATAACAAAAATATTTTTGTTTCTATGAAAAATGGCAAACAATTTTTTGAAATCAAAAAGTGTTAAATAAAAGAGCAACTATCAACTTTCCAAAAAAATCTTATAATACTTTTTTGTTGAAAATTACTTGTATAATAACCCCCTGAAGTTTGGCCATCAGCATCCGTTACACCCTGTATATATTGCCTGAATAAAATATTTTTTAGAAAGTTTATTAAAATATAAAAAAGATAAAAATATATAAATTAGTACTCGCAAAACTCACAATTGATCTATATTTTTGCTAATACATGGTTAGTTTTAAAACAAAAATTTGACAGACAACATTTTTTAAATAAACCATCCTTGATTGTAGCAGAAATTTTCGGATAATTGTTGGAAAGTTACTCCTAAATTAGCAGACAATTTAATAAAATTTGATATTTACATCTTTTTTGGTTTTCATATCAAAGCCGCCTTTTTACATTTTTTTTTTGGGAACTTTAAGGGACTATATCTCCGATAAAGTAAACGTAAGACAGTGGCGGCTCGTGCCGTTGTGAATAGGTGAGGCCCGTGGCTTTTTTACTAGGTAGGCAAGAGAGAAAAAAAAGCGCCGCAGGCAAAAATTTTTTAAATTTCAAAGTCAAATGATTAAATCTGGAAATTTTGAGTTGCATTATAGAAAAACTGATGTTCACGAGCAGGATTTTCATTCAGATTTTATAAAAAATAATACGCAACTATTTGGTTATTTTATTAATCGCCTCTCAAATAATACATCATTTTTTATTATGGAGATCTTTGCCAATAGCCCTACTATAACCGTAAATTAAAAAATTGTATTTACAATAAAATTAAGTAACAGAAAAAACAAAGTGATATATTTACCTAATAATTAACAAAATTGTTCCTACTTGGTTTATGGATATTAAAAAATATGAAAAAATATAAGAACAAATTTTCATAACGTAGCCAGCCAACTTATCTATTTACATATAAAACAACGCCGCCAGCTTTTCGTGTGCCTCCACTTTTAACAAAATATTTTAAATACATAGTCATGTTTTTATAAAACAAGTTTATTTATCCGTTGTTTAAGCACAAAAAGTTTCTACCGTGACGCTTGTTGCAGGAATTGTTAAAACTGGGCAAAACAATTTGTGTGTTTCGGAAAAATACCATTTTCTGTACAAAATATTAAGTTCGTTTTTCAACCTATTTCAAAAACGTTTGGATACATTCATAATAAACATTTAAACGATTTTTCGGGAAATTTGTTTACATATTCCGGAAATTTTAAGGAATCTATGAAAGCAAAAAAATTTAAATCATATAAATTCTTGAAACGAGTAGGTAGTTAAGGGTTAAGGGGTAGTTAAGTAGGTAGTAGGTAGTTAAGGGGAAATATATTTCCAAAATATTTCTAATTCGTCGTAACTTTTGTCCCGTTTACTTGGTAGTCCAGTAATATTTTTCGCATAATTAAAAATATATTTAAATTTTTCTTCGTTTCTTAATTCAGAAATTCTTTAACTAGTGATTTTAATTTGTTTAGAACAGTAGTTTACGTCATTACATATTGAAAAAGGTGTTTCAAGAGATAAAACAATATTGTGAGATAGTTTCATTATTAGCTACTGAGTTGATAATATAATAACTATTAAATTACGTTAAATTTAGTCTTACTTTGTTTTATTGTAAGGAAGTTGTTTTTTATTTACTCTAAATTAATACCTGCCTTATCCTTATCCTTAAAGCCTTTGTACTATCCCTCACACTGACATCAGACACCACCCGCGTACTATGCGACGCGTGCATTAACCGCGAACTGAAGCTACGGGACAAGTACAAGCAGCTTTGAGCCGGCCTCAGTTCCCTCCTAAATCACGTTATTTTAACCGCCTCGCTTGGAGGGGCAACCGTAGCATACTTTAGGCATGTGTGACGTAGGCGCTTGCTATTATCACGTTGTTTTCAGACGCATTGGACACGAATCTGAAGTCAGTCCAGCGCCAGCTGAAGTAAATAAATAAATAAATTGTTACTTTTAAATTTGAAACAATATTATTTTACGTTCTTCGAGGCGCCTGTGCCTTTCGAGTATACTTAAAGCAACGTAATTATTCCGAAGGTGCGCTCGTCGAGATTTCAGGGGCAGGATACGAATAATTTGCGTCTTGCAACCGCAATTAGCGATCCACGGCCGGTCGCAAACACGTCGGCAATTATCGCGCACAATTCCCGGTACGCCTTATTCCGCAAAAAACATTTCATATTCGCCGGGCGCAAAATGCGTTGTCTGCGGCTTCGTCTTATTCTCATACACACTTCACCGTTCAGCAGACGGACGCGTAGAGGTTGTCCCGTTACGATCCGTGACCTGTGGTCCTCCCGGCCGTCCATGCCGCCGATTTTCGATACGAATGATGGGAAAATGCGAGGCTGGGTTTGTTTACGGCATGCTGTACAGGGCGTCCGCGATACGAGTGCCAGGGGTTCGATTAGTAACGCAGCATAGCTCAATAAACTGTAAAAGTCTCAGGCGGCGGTTAGATTGTGAATTCGTACGCAAAAGTTGTAGGATTTCAAAAATCCAATTTAGCGCTGACCTTGTCGCCAATTTTGTGGGTCAAATCAAGGTCGACTTAAAAATTTCGATGAGAAACTCCTATTTTTTAACTTATAAATCGATAGAGCGTAAAAATTTACGTCCGAGTATGAAATCAGAAATTTTTTCCGGGATATCCTTGAAGGTCATGTCAAGGTCGAATTTGTTTTTTCTTAATAACTCGACGGGTTTTTAACTGTAGAGATAAATGTTGCAAGGTAGTTGCAGTAGTACTTTTAATGACAAATTTATTAGTGACCTTTTATTTGCCCTTGACCTTTTGTTCTTGGTCAAATAGAAGTCAAATTTTGAAACCTGTATTTTTAATGTCAACATCAATAAAACACCAAATTTAATCTCCAAGTCCAGTAAAAGTTCGTTTAAAGATCATAATAATAATGATGATAAAGGGAAATATCAAAAAGTTTAAAAAAATAAGAAAATAAGGTTAACACAGAGCATAAGGGGATAAGGATATAGCTTGTAACACTTTTCTCTACAGTTTTCTCAATTCCACCTTGAAATGACCTTTAAAGATACCCAAGATCAAATTTTTGATTCCATATCCGAAAGTAAAATTTTACAGTATATCGATTTATAAAATAAAAAATAGGGGTTTCTAATTGAAATTCTTAAGTTGACCTTGATTAGACCTTAAAAATTAGTGTCAAGGTCGAAGACAAGATCACCGCTAAACTGGTTTTATGAAATCCTACAACTTTTTCTTAAATTTGTTTTGATTTGATTTCAGCCTGAAGAGTTACCGGAGGGATTCGTGTCTTTTTGGGACACCGTATATATTTTGAAAAGAGTGAAAAAAGTACCAAGATCTTACATAGTATTAAACAAAAGGTAACAAAGTGAAAATAAACTTAAAGCTTTAATGAGTTATTTATAAACGTTATTTATAAATTTGTCTAAGGTGAGGCGCAGCCCTAGAAAGATCTACAGATTTTTTTAGAATTGGCGGAAAAGGGAATTTTGCCTTATTTCTTGGGATTTTCAAGTCATTTTAAAAAGTATACTTAAATAACTACTAAATGAACTTTAAATGCAGCTGAGCACTATACTCTATTTGAATAACTTCTCAGTAGGGAAAACAAGGTCACTAGATGTACAAACAGAGGTATCTACTTGTTACTGTAAAAAGTTTTCTTTGTTACGCGTTGTGCTGCCCTCTGTTAACGGATTGTATTAACATATCGGAATACCGGAGTCGAAATTGTATAAGTAGTGACATCTATGGAATAAAAGCCAAACGACCAAAACAAAGATGACCACCGGTCGCTGAATTACAAGTGGAAGTAGATCTTATTTGTGGAAGGGCCAAACGGGCGGTGACTATGAGACACCTTCATTATAGCCATCCTTCTCTATCGCATGGATTTCTATGACTTACTTTTTCGCTCTCACGTAACGGCCGATGAACCATGGGGACATTCCGAACCTGTATACTTATTTATTTTATAAAAGTATATTCACAGTCTAATCGCCTGATTCAAGCCTTAACCGAGACTCAAAGTACCGGGCCTTAATTGAATATCATTCATACTGATAACGCTTTTTCGTTAAATTTGAGTAACACATAATTAAAAATATCACAGATTATCTCATATTTGTGGGTGAAATAAACTATTCGAAAAAGGGTTTTCGCTATTATTATTTTTTTTGTGTTTGTAAAGTTTGTTTTGAACTTCACAAAGTTCCATATAAACGGCTTCTTCCTCTAGGACTTAAGTTTACAATTTTTTATTTTTGTTTTGTTTATTTTGATCTACACTATCAGGTACCGCACCTGTACTGTCAATACCGTGTATTATAGTGAGAGACAAGACAACAATAGCCGTATGCGAGCCGATATGGGCTACGTAAATGTAAACCGATTCTAAAGTTAATCATACACCTGTTTGTGTCCAATTTTCCGTTTAACTTTGGTATGTGGCAAGTGCATGTGACATATGGCAGATTTTATCAGAATTAATGTGAACGGGACATGGAACACTTTTAGAGGGTAATAAATTTTCAACAATTGTGAAAGGTCACCTCACAAAACAAATGGAAATGGAAATGTTGTACTTGACATCCTGATCAAAAGTCCTCGTGGCCCTACGTCTGAAAATTACCAGTTTTGGAGAAATGAAGGGTCAAAGGTCAGGAATACGGTATCCGCTAATGTCAGTTGAGAGCCTCATATGGTTTATGGTCCTACGGAGTAGTTTAACGTTGCTATTCTAATGTATTTGGACATATCACTCATTCAAATCCGCGTGTGTACCATACCCTCATACCCCGCACACAGAGTAACAATGTTAAACAATTCCTTACGCCATATGATACTCTCAACTATAACATTAGCGGATATCGATATTCCTTACCTTTGAAATGTTATGCCCATGAGGAATTTTGATCAGGATGTCATGAAGTACAACATACTACATTTTTAGTTCATTTGACCGTACCCCCTTTCCATTTATTTTGTGCGGTGTCCTTTGGTTTCGGGAAATAGGCTAAAAAGTTTCAGTTTCTCCAAAACACCAGTGACAGACAAAAAAAATTGATAATGTTTGGCCCCCATAAGCATAAAATCAATCGAAATTAAATGTTTTGTTTTAAACGTAAACGAAAAAAATATATAAAAAATTTACATACGTAATTTTAGCACTGGACTGTAATTTATATACGTGTAGGAATATTAGAAAATACGATTAACTACAATTTGTGCCACACATTGAGACACAATTGTGTTGGTCTTTCTGCGAAACTTCATTACAGATTACATAAGATATATATTTTATTTTGTATAAATGTCATTTTAACAATAATTCAACATATAATACTCGTACGTATAGGAAGAACATAGTATAATACGATTTTGAGATAAATATGATGAATGAAAAAGAGACAGGCATATCGTCGTTTATCGCGCATAATGTGTATCTGATTAACGTCGTTTCTTGCAATTTCTGCTACCGTCCTCTGTGCTGTCACCTGTCAACCTGTCAGATTAGTATTTTGTGCAGTAGTTGGTGGATTTTCATGCGTTATATCAAATCTCAAATAGGTAGTTATTTACATCATAAAGAGGTAAGTATTATTTACCAGTCGAGGACGATAATATGATTGCACAGTTTTTGAAACTGGAACATCCTGAAACAGATACAGGCTATTCATTCCGAAGAACATCGGCAGCGTTACTGGCTAATGTAATAGTTGATGTATTAGCAATCAAGAGACATGGTGGGTGGAAATCAGCCACAATTGCAAAAAGTTATGTTGTTGACTGTTTAAGTAACAAAAATGAAATAGCCAACGGGATTCTTTGCAATATTTCTTGTAGTATGTACATCATGCTGTTTTAATAGAACAGTCAGATAATATTGATAATTTTGAGAAAAATGTGACAATTAGTAAACGCGAGGGGAATATTGTCCAGATTTTATAAAAAAATACTAAATGTAATAACTGTACAATTATTGTAAATATTCATTCATAATAATTAGTAAAATGTAATGTTCATCAAATATTTCTATTTATTTGTTCATAAAATAAGTACTTATAACTAGAAATCGCTTTTTTCCCTAATTAAGAAATTCTCTTAAACATTTCTTTTTCTTTTCAATATTTTCCTATATTTTATCGTCATTGTTGCTTGCAGTTCTTCTTGTCTGGATTTACACAAAGTACCTTGACCGCTGTTAAGTTTGTTAAAGTGTGATCGCTATATTTTTTGGTAAATATTTTAACTTGGAACCATGTTAACCCATTAACGTTACAGTTAAATAAACAACTCTCGTGTATGTTCGTACCCGTTTATGAATGATTTTTTTTGTCGGTGATTTTGAACGATCATTTAAGAAGAATTAACAAAATAAATTTTTGTCTCTATATCTACAATCTACAAGCACATCTGAGAAGAGTACAAATTACTAGATTTACCAACAAACACGTCTTCTTCAAAATAGCTGACAGCTAGAGCAAAATAGCTAATAACTAACATCAAATTCGTCGGTTGTCTTACCTACGCTTTACTAATGAGAACTAATAGGTTTGAAATTAGGCATCAGTCTGTGTCTAGTGATTCCACTAACGATGATAGTGATGATCCTATATATTTACTAGATATTGTAAATGTAATTTAATGATGGACGGGCATTAGCTCGCAGAGTAGTTGTTTTCCACAATATAACTAGCTAAAAACTTATTTCGTTGCTGTATAAGTACAAGTGACAATTACAAATTATTTTATTATTTGGAGAGACCGAGATGAAATATAACACTTTGTTATTGTAGCAGGACTTTTGAAATGAACAGCAATATAACTATTTAAATTA